ATCAAATTCTTGTGGAGTTGCTCTTTAAGCAAGATAGGTGAAACGATTCTACTTAAAACCAAACAAAACACTGTTTCACAGCAGAGGAGTAAGAGTTAACAGCTGGGAGGATGGGAATAAATCAGTTTTGCTGCTACAGGATTGTAACATGGAACATACCCTACGAACATCTTGCACATTTCATGTTCTACAGTGATAGTGAACACTCCCGAAGCAAACGAGGGCGGTCTGAAAAGGATGTTTTCCTTAAAAACATCATAACGTTCAAATTGAAATGCAAGGCCAAACCAGTTCAGAATATTTACTGTCATGTTTTATTGTATATTTTTGTGTGCTTACAGGAGCCAAACAAATAGCTTCATAAGCAACAGAAGAGAAATGTTCTTTCTTATGAAATCGCATCTTATGCACATTTTTTATTAAATAAGATGCGAACTTTGACTCCAGATCTTTGTAAGGCTGAACTATTCACAATAATGCTTGTACTTCTTCCAGATCCTCATTTTAGTAAGCTTATCAGAAGTTCATGTCTGAAAAGTTATGTTTGAGACTTCTATCTGTAATAAAGCGCAATCGCATTTGCAAAAAGCAATGGGGGGAAAAGATGGACGGACAGACAGACACACACAGAGAAAACATGATCACAATAAGCCCCATTTCCTTAGAAAACTAGGTTAAAAATATTAAAAAAAAAAATACAGAATCCCAGAGAAAGCCGATTGCTGAGAGCTCACTATGCCACGTGACAGCATGCTCTCTAATTATTTTCACTGTAGAAGAAACTGTACAATAAAAAGTCTGAAACCAGAGCAAAAATGTTCCACCTTCAAGCCAAGAAAAACAACAAGGATGCTAGGGAAGGAATGAGAAAAGATCTGAAAATTATTTGTAGGATAAACATAGTCAACTTGTCCCTCCCCCTCAAGATGGGGAAGAAGCTCGGTTTACAAGATTCCTTCTTCCTTCCTTCCATTTCTACCAGCCATATTTTCTTTCTGCATCCTCCTTTTTGTTTCCTCTGTGCCCATGTAAACTTTGCCTTCTTCCTTAATTTTCCACAGTCCTCCCTTTGTCATTCTCTGGTATTTAACATCTCCACTCAGTCCTCTTTATAGCCTCTTATTACTTAATTCTCATTGCTCTTAATCAAAAACAGCCACTTGCTGTGGAATATGAAAAAACAGGCTCTGCTTTTAGCTCGTTTAAGTCTACAATAGGCGAGCATTATGGCACACTAAGATGCTTGACATCACTAAAAACAAGCATGTGATACTAAGTAGCACAAGTGGCGCAAAGTGAAAACGTATGGCGCGTATATATAAAAACGTAAGTTCTAACTTTGAAGATTATACATTTGTCAAGTGAAGTAGTGGGGTTTTTTAATGAATGAGAGAAATTCATTAATACATGGGTTTTGTACTGGATGGATTACATTCATTGAACTTCACATAATGCAAGTGAACCATGCCTGATCGGTGCCCCTCTTGCATGATTTTAGCCATGAAAATTGGATGCAGGCAAAACTAAATCTTTGAACATCTACCCTGTTTTAATTTTCTCTTAAAAAAATAAAACATCCCAAATCAAACACGTTTGGACATTAATTAAAGACAGGAAATTGAGAGTTTATACTAAAGCCTATGTCCAAAGACTAAATTAAAGCTTACTTTGGCAAATTATTCATACTGGTCATTTGGGAGGGGTGGGGAAATTGTTCAGACAGAAGGAAGAATAGGAAGAACTTGCTTGTCTTGGCTACTTTCTCTCATTTTTCCGTTCTTTCTTTCTTTCTTCTCCTGTGTGTAACACCCACAGATTTCGTAATGAGATGGTATGCGACCCACCACACACTGCTGTGTGGGTGTAACTTAAATGAAAAAGAAATGTAAATTAACAAGTAACATGCATAGATATTTATATTACATGCCAAAAAACCAAAAGGTGGTATTAAACAATATTAATATTAAACACAATATAACATTAATACTGAAAAGAAATTGTGATAGGTGAAAATTTTCTCTTCAAAATACTTATGGCTGCCAGTTTAACAACAGTCATCTCTGCTCAACAGATCTACACAGCATGATGAGATCTGCTCATCAAAATAAGGTAGCTTGGCTTCAATTTCTGAAGAAAATCCTAATACAACATGTTTTGATATTAGAGGTAGTCTAAAATCTTACTAATACTGGTCTAATCTGATTCTAATAAATTTTGAGTACATCCTGGAATATGGAGAGAAAACTAATTAAAATTGACCTGAAAAGATGCGAGTTCAAACAGGGGTGGAATGCTGACCTGGTATACTTGAGGTAGTAAATAACCAGCTAATAAGCATCTTAATGTTCCTTCTATAGATACACTCTTCCTTACAATAGCGGGGGCTTTACAGCAGTGAAACTCTAGACACAGACTTGCATAACTTTGAGGAAACCACATTCAGTTTGAAGAGCTCAAAAACTTTTAATAACCTCCAAATGCAACAATATCAGCAAGCTGAAACATTTCAGCAGCAGCACCTAAAGTATGTGTATGCAGTTAGCCACATACCAAGCTTGCACATTTCTTTGTATACCACAAAACACTATAAGCCAAACACCGGCCAGATATCTTGCACTTCGTCTGTTTGTGAAAAAAAAACACAAAAACATATCTTTGTACTCTACAAACAGAACCTGTGATCCTAGAGAGGAAGGCAAAACTCAAGAGGTTTTGGAGCTACATTTGAGTGATGATAACTGCTACGGACTATTAGACTTGTGGCTCACCTAAAAGGGTCGGCCCCTTAGAGGTAGGTCTCAGTTGCTCCAGTGAACACCCACCTATTCTGTTATTTCCTCCTCAGGTAAGAACAGGCTTGAATGTAACTTGAATAAACTTGATTCTTGGACTTGAACAAAGCACTCCTTTCTTACAAATTACAGCCCTGAGCAAAGCAGGCTGAGAGAAGAGGAGAGAGAGAGATTTGGAAATTAAGTTCAACATGAATGTTCGTTATCACAGACTGTTTTCTTCCTTTATTTGTTTAGTGTTAATTAATGACAGTGAGATTAACTGCAGAAAACTGATGGAACGGTAATTCTGCCTCATCCAAAGTAAATATTCTTTAATCTAAAACTGTCACAGATATTTCTGATGACCTCCTCAAATGCATATCCTTAAGTTTTTAATTTTCAGGAAATAAGGGGAAGAGTCAAGCAGAAGATCAGTTCACAACCCTAGGACAGCATAGCAGTATTTTTACTGAAAAGTTCATAATATAAGTGAATATAAATTATATGAAAATCTAAGACTAAAATCTCACTAACACCCTCAAATTAGTGTTGCATCTGTCTGCATATAGAAAGCCAATTATTATGTCTGGCAGTTTTATCTTACAAAATCACTGTTTTTGGAAACCTACTTTTTACTGAGGCAGGAAACTTTAAAAAATAAGTAATAACAAAAAAAAATCACTCGGTAAAAGAAAACACAGAAAAACCTCAACAAATCTCAGAAATTCTGATCCCACCCTCTGTAACGTCCCTCTGCTTTCACTTTAAGAAAATTCTATTTGTTCACTCAAAACCAGAAAAGCAGAGGGATCTGAAAGTTCATGTGTTTTATAAGCATTAATAATACTTTAAAGGGATAAAATGTAGTTACAACTTGCAAGGAAAAAAAGGGTTTGAAAATCCTTCAGTGTCCTGAAGCACTTTTTCCTTATGCGGTATTGTGTTCTTGTGGGTGGAAAAAACCCCTCCTGTCATACCGTAACAATCTGGCTCCCATATATGCCTAAAATTTTGCAATAAGTCAAGCCTAGAGTATTTAGCCTATGTTTCCTTTATTAAGAACACTCATTAATATTGATAATAGTGTTTAAAGCTGCAGCCATCAACTAGAATTCTATAGGAATATACCTCTTCAATAACTGAAAACATTCTGAGAGGCAAAGAATTTTTTCAGATTTAAAATTGTTAATACACATTGAATTAAAAATTTTCTATCAGTATACTGATTGTATATTGTAAGTATGCAATTATATGCATTGCGGAATTCATATTTCAGTAGAGATCTATTTCAAAATACTTAAGGAAACGTGAGAAAGCATAGCCAACACAGGGCTTTACTATTGCAGCCCTTCTTTTCTGTGACAAGTTTACAACATGCTCCAGGCTGGTAATAAAAAAAGTCATTATTTCCTAAGAACTGTTTAAAAATAAACTGCTTGTGTGATATAATGCCAGCAGATAAGCCTATCAACTGCAAAACCCACCATGATGACCAGAACAGCTAGTGCAATAACATTAAACAAAAACTGGCAAGCCATTTCGCCCCAAAGCTGATCTAAAATTAAAGCACAAGCTATAGTGCTTTAATATACTATTATCCTCAGTTTAAAACATGCATGTACTGAAATCGCACCTATTAGTCTCACAAACTTCACACACAAAAAATAATAATAATAATAAAAAAAAAAGTTCCACTTGGCTAAGTGCTCTTACTACTGTTCTCTTCTGCACAATAATTACTCCCAAGGTCATCGACGCTACTGCCAAACCTGCAGTAACACTGGTGAAACAACAAATGCCATTCATCACATCATAGCAACTTTTTAAGGCTGAACAGATTGTCTAGAAGACGGAGAAGTAAAGATGATATCCCTAAATTAAAAACTTCTAAACTAAATGTTCAAGTGGAAAGGAGACTTAACAAACCAGCAAGATTTCCATCAATTTTGGAGGACCCAGGATTACACCATTTATTCTTTTTAATCCTAATGATAGGCTCTCATTTGAATTGTACAAGCATTATATTCATTTTTCAATAACACAGAAAATTCAAACCCACTTCATTTTTTCAATAACACAGCTGAAGTAATTTCAGACCCAAACACCAGCTATTTCAGGCTAACTGGCTTTCCCAATGGCAAATTCCTCCTGGAAAAAATAAAGAACAGCAGTTTCCACCACACTTTATCTTATTTTATTTCACAGTAAGTTAATAATTTATTTTACCGGTAAGAAACAAAGGACCAGATGGTGCATGTTCCATTGATTTCCATTGACCACGTTGTTTAGGCGCTTCCAAGTAGTGTTTGACCCTTGAAGCAACAACTTCTTCTAGCAGCATGCAGACCTCCTGAAAGAGTAACCATTGGCCTATTCAGATCTAAATTTACATACATGCCCACAGACACACAGCAAAAATCAATACAAAAATCACTCCCTTTCACAGAAAAAAGAAAAACACTATCTGCAATTCAGTGCTGAGGTATTACATAGAGGTGAAAAGCACATAACTCAGGAAATGAAGAAGGCGGGGGCAATCAAACAATTTTTTTACAGAACAAGAGAGGAAGTACGTTATGAAATTCTCACTTGGCAGATGAAATACATTATATTACAATACTAATAATTTTTTAACAACAAATTAGTTTCATTTGTATGCAAAGTAGGAAAAAAATACATCTTAAAAATGTATCATAACATTAGATATTTAAGCAAAATATTAGTAAAAATCCTCCTGGGAATTGTCAACACACTATTTCTCTGCAAGAATCCTTATAAACCACAACAGATATTTTGTTTCAATTCAGTGTACTTTTGGGGGAAGACTCAGACCTAATTAGGTCACAACAACCTAATTTCTCTAGTTCATTTTGATTTTTCTGCTCCTAAACATAACCATTCATGTCTTTCATACTTCTTTCAGCAAAGCACAGTAAAAACCACACACAACTCAAGAAGAACAAACCCTTCAGCCAGAATAACCATAGAAAAAAAACTTGGAGTAAAAGCAAAAAATTAATCTCTTGAATACCAGACTAAGTTTTCAGATTAATACTTACACACATATTTGAGACTTTTCCCTCAGTAGTCTCATTTTCCATTGTGCATAGCTATGTGCTCGCAGAAATGATACTCTGCGGCACACAAAAATATCATTTTACCTTTTTACAGTGTTTGGACAATAGACTATATTAGTACTATCTAAACTAAAATATCTTGGCTTGAAATTTACTTTTGATTAATCTAGAAAATATGTAGAGCAACAAATTTTTAGCGTATTGCTCTAAATGAAAGCAATGCACATATATTGGGTCAACCACAAACAGTATTTTCTCCTTACAGTAAGAAATACATTTTCCTTTCTGCTTGAAGAGTACAATTATAAAATACTATATTTACTTATTCTTCTGTTTAACTCATTAAAGTGATCTCATTACACATTCCTTCACAGGACTATAGTTCAGGTTAGAATGAAAAGGTCTAGAAAGCAGCGGAAACATAGTGTGCATTTGGTTCCTTCTGCAACAATAAAGATTAGCGTGCACTTCCTTAATTTACTTGGAAAATATTTTAGTTGTTATGCTTATGGAAATATTATTTAAATGGTTCTCCACAAAGAACTATACAGACCTATATGTAAGAAAGCATAAACAAGAGCAGGCTTCAAGAGAATTGTCCCTATGTACTTTCCACCGCTAAAAAGAACTCGTAACTGAGACTTTCTATATGCGTATGGAGAGATCACGGCAATGACGCGAACAGAAATCAGTTTAATAAATGCTTCTCGATGTACAAAGATAAAACTTTGACTTTGTTTTGCCAGGGGAAAAGAGATAGGACAGAAAGGGCAAGGCAATTTGAAGGGCAGGAGTGAAAAGCTCCCAAATGCCTCAATACGCATCTCGCAGCAATCCCAAGATGACTCCATATACGTACGACGTGCGACAGCAGCGTGCAAACTGCGGCCTTCACAATGCCCAGCTAGACAACGCGCACTGTATTTTCTCACACCAGCCTCATGCTTATGGGCACTCATTTACTTCCCAGCTTGCGTACGCAACCCAGGCTCCAGCAGGAGCTGGCAGCTCACAGGCCAGTGCTGCTCCCTCCTCCCGCCCGGGACCGCATCGCCAGGCTCCATTCGCCACCAACAGCAGCCGCTGACTTTCGTCCAGGGTAAGCAGGGCATCAGCAGAAATCGTGTTTGTGTTACAAGGGGTCTAAGAGGCATCTGCTTTTCCCACAGACAAGCAAAGAGGGCTGTACCACCGTTAGTATTTTCCAGAATTTGGAAATGACAAAAAAGTAGAAAATTGCTTGTGATGAACACGTAAAAGCTCTCATAAAAAAAACAAAATACGTAGGCATAGTTTGCCTATAACACCTTACTGACCTTGTTCTTCCCACTTTAACAAAGATCCTGCATAGGACTTTCAGGAAGTGGATTGTAAAGCTACTGGAATCACTTCTCAGTTGTCAAAAACACGCAACCTTTGTACTTCACTCAAAACGTGTGGTCACAGAAATATCATGAATGCTGCCCTGTCATGCCTCTTTATTAAATCAATCATGATCTAATTTCCTGAAATTCATATCTTTTGTTTTGGCAGCCTTACAAAATACATTTTGAAAACACGTAAAAGTCATATAACCAGGATAGTAAAACCGGTTATAAGTAGAAGGGCCAATGAGTATTCATTTAGTCAGAAAAGAAGTCTAAAACATTTCCCTTATTTTCTTCTTTCTCTGCTTAATAAAGCACAAATCGGATGAACAACATGCTGTTAAATATTCTGCTTTCACTCCCTCAGGATATTAATTTATTGTTTCTTTTAATTTTATTTAAACATACTACTTTGAGACGTATGGGGATGCTCTGCAGTGACAAGTTAATTATGCCATTATTAGGAAAGCTATCTGCTGAAAATTACCGTAACAGAGACTTGCGGGAAAGTCCACAGGCATTTGAAACATGTCCTGCATTCATTTTCAATAGGGAACTTCTCAAGTTCCCACAGACTGAAATAGGGGAAAATTCCTGCCAGTAACTCATCACAAGATTGTAGCAGAAATCACACAGAATCTCATGAAAGTTACATTCGTGATTTTGCTGGTCACTGATGCACTGATTTTCCAAAATTTCATCTGTTGTCAGGATATACAAATGATACACTTAAAAATAAAGATTGGGAGTTTCTTTTCATAAGATACAATGGTTCTACTACAGTTTATCATACATACCAATGTTTTCTTGCATTCTCTAATTGCAACATCATTCACATTTCTAGCAACAAAACCCCCCCCCAATTAATCAAAAGATACTTCAACAACAAGCTCTGCAAAAATGATACCTGTCACAATCTGGTTTATATCACTCAGGATAATTTACAGACATTCATGAGAAATATGTTTTTAAAATTAAAAGTCACATCAGAAGAATCAAAACAGCATGCACACATGCATGTACGCACACAGAGAGAGTTTAAAAATTAACAGGCAAATTGAAAGTGGTCATTAGTGACCCAAAAAGCACATATGGTTGACTCGGGGGTCCCACAGCAACCATTGACAGTTAGGTATAACTAACAATATCCTCATAACACTGAAAAATTCTGAACAGTTCAAGGCAATCCAACTTTTTCC